TTAAGGCTAAGACACTACTCTTTCTTTGAAAAGAGTTCTCTTCTCCAAGGGGAAAATAGCCAGTTTTTGTTTTTTTTAATTAATTATTTTTATTGAAGGATAATTGCTTTACAGAATTTTTTTGTTTTCTGTCAAACATCAACATGAATCAGCCATAGATATCTATATATATCCTTTCCCTTTTGGATAGCTGGTTTTTTTAAATACTTAGGTGAAGGGGGTGGATTTTTCATGATTAGCCAGATTCAAAACACTCTTCTAGGTGCTGAGGCTCTGACATTCATTCAAGGCCTCAAAAGTAATTTTGTCAACTGTGAATGTGTGTTTGTGCTCACTCAGTTGTGTTTGACTCTTGCAACACCATGGTGGTAGCCCGAAAGGTTCCTCTGTCCATGGGATTCTCCAGACAAGAATACTGGAGTGGGTTACCACTCCCTTCTCCAGGAGATCTTCCCCATCCAGGGATTAAACCCGCGTCTCCAGGGTCTCCTGCATTGGGAGGTGGATTCTCTACCACTGATCCACCTGGGAATTTGTCAACTACCTACACTAATTTAAAAAAAATCCTATAAAGGGAATGTGCTTTTGAAATGAAAAAACATCATCGGTTTTTCCCAAAGAATTTGAAGAAAATAAAATTTTAGTATTTTTTATTTGAAATGGCCAGTCTTCTTGCTGAAGTTACCAAATACTCTTTCCCTTAAGAGTGCACTGAGAGACAAGAAGATGAAGACAAGTTCCTTCACCGTGGAGAGTAAATAGTATCCTTGTAGGAGGAAAGCACTCAGCCTCAAAGCACTCAGCACACCTAGGTGTGCATTCCTAGGTTGCCAGGCATCACTGAGGCTAAATGAACCCGGGTTAGGTCGGGTCAATAAAACTTGTACCAGGTCAGAGGTTTAGACATGCCTGGAGGGAGGCTTAGAAAAATGCTACAATAAAGACTAAGGGATGGATGAGCAGGATTCCTGCAGAGTAAGGTGACCTGATCAGGGCTGCTTCAAACAGTTAAGAAAAAAAAATCTCAAGAATATAACAACTTATAGCTGCCTGCCTTATGAGGAAGGAGGCAGGATTAGACTAGAGAAGTCACAAGACTATTTTAAACTCCATGGTGTAAAGGAGTGTTAACTCTTTCAACCTGAATTTTTTAAAGAAGCAAATTAAATTTCTACCCTTTTTAATTTTTATTTTTACATTTTTCCCAATTTAGCAGAAACCTCATGAGTAAGTACACATATTCTAGCCCTGGCCACATCATAACATGATGTTAATCTAATTGATCATGGCTAGCTTGTTTGTTTGTTTGTTTTCAGTTTATTTACCAGGCAGAATGTTTAAATTTCAACCTGTTTTATTTTAAATATTTGGCTGCACTCACACTAGCTGCAGACAAAGCCTAAGCCAGCCAGGAGAGTATACCATCCTCCTGAATTTTATCTTTAAGGTCCACAAGTCTTCAAAACCAAAAAGAAACCAAGAAACCTTGAGTCTTTTTTTTCCTCTCTCAGGAACACACTTTTTTTGGTTTTATTAGCTCCTTTGCTGTTCTTAAAAAAAAAAAAAAATTAACCTCTGTGCTCACAACTAGTTGGAGGGATGTAGTTCACAGACAAACTTCTAAAGAATATAGGTTTGAGTGTCATTCCTGGAGGTGACCACAACTTCACCACTTTCTCTTCTTAAGAAAGCAATTTGATAGATAAACAAGTTCCTATTGTATAATAAATGGAAGTATATTCAGTATCCTGTGATAACCATAATGGCAAAGGATATATATGTATAGCTGAGGCACTTAGCTGTACAGCAGAAAATTAATATGACATCGTTAAGTCCACTACGTGAAAGTGGAGTCGCTCCGTCGTGTCTGACTCTTTGTGACCCCGTGGACTATAGCCTACCAGGCTTCTCTGTCCATGGGATTCTCAAGGCAAGAATACTGGAGTGGGTTGCCATTTCCTTTTCCAGGGGATCTTCCCGACTCAGGGATCGAACCTGGGTCTCCCACATTATGGGCAGATGCTTTAACCTCTGAGCCACCAGGGAAGCCCGCTATGCTTCAATATTAAGTGAGTGAGAGTGACTATGAATCAGCTCTAATTAATTAAAAAGTGACTCACCTGTAGCTCTAATTGTTGAAAGTGACTCACCTACTATTTATTAATAGTAACTAATTACAGGTGACATGCTTCAAAGCTGATATGGACAAATGCACGGGTTGAGCTGCAGACCTGTGTTAGAAAGTCCTTGGGTTTCTACTTCACCCAAAATGACTCTGCTTCAATTTTATTTTATTTTTTTTCAGTTCCACAAGTGTTTATTAAGCACTTATCTGAGCAATCTGCTTCAACTTTAAAAGGGGACTTCCTTTATTCAGAATAATGAGTAGACTTGTTTACAGACTCCATATTCTATACTTGCTCTCTTCTCAGTAAATTTGCAAAACTCAGTTTCTCTAGTTTGGATTGGAAAACATATGCTCTGCTATTATCATCAGACATTATATTCCCCTAAGAACATAAATAAAAGCAATGCTCTCTCATCTGGCTTTGAGTCACCAGACAGACGCTATTTACATACCAAACTTACTAAACTTATTATAGATTCTCAGCAATTAAACCTTCTCAGAACCTGCATCACCTCTCTTAAAATCAATATCAGTAGCAAAAGTTTTATGATTGCACAACCCAAATTCTTAAGTAAAGGTTTTCGTTTGTTCATTGATAAAAGTAATGCAGCTACATTTCCAGCAAAATGGCAGAAGAGACAAGCCTTTACAACACCTGCAAATACAAGATAATGTATAAGAAATGTTTTCTATAAATTGAGTATCTTCTGTATAACCTGGAATCCTCAGTGAAAAGATGGCCTAGCAAAACCAGAAAGAAAAAAAAGAAAAAGAAAGCTGAATGAACAATATAATTAAGAACAGAGTTTAGTGATAGAAAAACAGTTGAAACAGAATTAATAAGGTCAAAACTTGGTTTTTTGGAAGACAAAATAAGCACACTCCTAGGAGAAGCAAAGAAATAATAAAGATCAGAGCGAACATGAATAAGATAGAGAATAGAAAAACAATAGAGAGAATTAATTAAACTAAAAGTTGGTTCTTTGGAAAGATCCAATACTGATAAACTTTTACCTAGATGGACCAAAGGAAAAAAAAGAAAGACTCAAATTACTAAAACTAGAAATAAGAATGGGGGCATTATTGCCAATTCTACAGAAATTTGAAGGATTGTAAGAGATTACTACAAACAATTACACACCAACAACCTGGATAACCTAGATAAAATGATCAATGTGTCTCCTAGAAATACAAAATCTATCAAGACTAAATTATGGACAAATAGAAAATCTAAATAGACCCATAACTTGTAAGGAGATTGAACCAACAAAGAAAAGCACTGGACCTGATAGCTTCACTAGTGAATTCCAACAAACACTTGAAGAAGAACTAACACCAATCCTTCTCAAACTTTTCCAATAAATTGAAGAGGAAGGAGCACTTTCTAACTTATTCTTTTAAGCCAGCATTACCTTGATACTAAACCCAGGCAAAGACACTATAGGAAAAGAAAATGATATCCCTTATGACAATATTCCTTATGAACACTGATACAAAAATCCTCAACAATACGATAGCAAGCTGAATTCAGCAGTATATTAAAAGGATTATACACCATGACCAAATGAGATTTATTTCTGAAATGTAATATTGATTCAACATTAGAAATTTGATCAATGTTATGTGTCATATTACAAAATGAAGGGGGGAAAATGACACGGTCACCTAAACTGACGTAGAAAAAGCATTTGATAAAATTTGACACTCTTTCATGATAAAAAGCCTCAACAAACTAGAAGTAGAGGAAAATTACCTCAATATAATGAAAGTCATATATGAAAATGCCATAGCAAATATCATACATACTCAATGGTGAAACACTGCAAACTTTCTCTCTAAGATCAGGAACAAGGCAAGGATGCTATTTTTGCCACTTCTATTCAACACAGTACTGGATATTAGTATTAGTCACTCAGTCGTGTCTGACTCTTTTCAACCCCATGGACTGTAGCCCTCCAGACTCCTCTGTTCATGGAATTGTTCAGGCAAGAATACTGGAGCAGGTTGCTGTTTCTTTCTCCAGGGGATCTTTCTGACCCAGAGATCGAATTTGGGTCTCCTGTATTGCAGGTGGATTCTTTACCACTTGAACCACCAAGAAAGCTGTGTAATACAAAAAATCATAGCCCAAAGGTCAAGCAATACAAAATTTAATCAAAATTGAGAAGAATCCAACAGTTAATAGAATAAAATTCTTTACTTTTGTGTAAGTAAAAGATTATCATATAGAAAATTTGTTCTATTAAAAGTATCTTCTAGAAAGGGAAGAATCATAAAGAAACAGGCTAGGGGGAGGAGCCAAGATGGCGGAGGAATAGGACGGGAGACCACTTTTTTTTTTTTTTTTTTTTTAATGTTCAAGTGTAGGCTATATATATATATCCTGGTTTGCCCAGGTCAGCCCCAGCTTAATGCCTATTGTCAGGCATAATTAACAGTGCCCCTTTTCTCTCTTACACTATTCTTCCTGGTTTAAATGACAGTTCATATGATCACTGCAGTTAAGAGCAACTGGTTGATTTTAAAACACTGCTGGAGAATACTGCTTGTAATGGTGATGTTATCATAAGTGAATAATGGACATAATGCAAGAAGATTAAAGGATGGTATTGTGAAGGGTAAAGGTGGGCACAAATCAGGCTAGTATGAAATGTTGCATGTTTTATGATTTTTTAATAGATACTGTGTTGTTTAATCTCTTAATTATTTAAGAGATGATGGAAGGGAGCTTTAGTTAGTGATGGTTTTGGAACTCTTCCTAGCACAGAAATGACAATATGCAAAAGAAAAGTATTGATCCCCCTATATACCTGGATTGTGTGTTTTACCTTTTGAAGCTTTACCTTTTAGAATAAAGTGTTGAAAGAATTAAAAGCCATATCCTATTGTCAGCTATTTAGTCATAACCTTGAAGCCTTTGTCTTTCAGGTCTAGATCCAGAAGAAGTTCTCGGAGGCATTATACAAGGTCACGATCTCGGTCCCGGTCCCATAGACGATCTCGTAGCAGATCTTACAGCAGAGATTATCGAAGACGGCATAGCCACAGTCATTCTCCCATGTCTACTCGCCGGCGTCATGTTGGGAATCGGGTAAGATGAAAACAATTGTTTCTGAAGCAGTGAACATTGTAGGAAGCCACTTTATAATTAATGTATAATATATTCCCCTCTGTTTTTAGTGTTTTCTTCTGTAATAATTTTAAACTGATATTTCTGATGGTGGAGCTTTAGCATGATTTCTCTCTAGATCCTTTTCGGCGTTTGGAGGTGTTTTTTTTTCCATTTTAAAAGATAGCTCCCATATATGGTCTACATTTGAGCTGTTGATCATATTTAAGATATTGTCACATTAACAGCACATCAAGTAAAAATTCTCTGCATTACGGTTAATATAGTTAGATCATGTATCTATGTTCCACACTATTGTTAGTTTTCTGGGTTTAATACGCTTTAAAATATGCTCTAATTTTCCCATTTAATTTTAAGCAAGTTTCTTTCCAGTTTTAAAGCTTTGCTTGTCTTCCATGAGAAGTTATGAATGAGATGGCATTTAGTGTGTTCCTGTTGTGGTTTTTATTGAATAATATACAAGTAGGTCTATAGGGAGTGTATGTTTTTGAAAGTGGGGTGGAATTTGACTGTAGTAAACGTATGTGCGAAATAGTGAAACCTTTACGCAAACTCATGGCAACTGGGATGTCAGCAACATTTAGTTCACTATTTATCTTCATTATAATAATTGAAGCTGCTTAATATCTGATTGTTAAGTTTGGTACACATCTGTGGTTTCACTTGTATGTATATTTGAACACTTAACGATTTTTCTGTAGAAATCAAGCTGAACATACCTTCTGTATCTCTTTGGCAGGTTAGAGCCTTCTATTGTGTGAGTGGTATATGTTAGTTAATTCACCACTTTGAAGTTTAGACACAGTTCTCTGTGAATACATGCTTGTGGTGCTGACGTAACATTACTTTTAAAATTCTGTTCTATTTCATTGTTATCTTTTCATATTAGTGACAGTTTTGGGGGGGGTTGATATGTGATGCTTTTTTTTTTAATTTTTATTTTTTATGTGATGCTTTTTAAAAGTTTTTTTTTTTTTTTTAATCCATTTTTCTATTTCTAGGCAAATCCTGATCCCAACTGTTGTCTTGGAGTATTTGGATTGAGCTTGTACACTACAGAAAGAGATCTAAGAGAAGTGTTTTCTAAGTATGGTCCAATTGCTGATGTATCTATTGTATATGACCAGCAATCTAGACGTTCAAGAGGATTTGCCTTTGTATACTTTGAAAATGTAGATGATGCCAAGGAAGCAAAAGAGCGTGCCAATGGAATGGAGCTTGATGGACGTAGGATCAGAGTTGACTTCTCCATAAGGAAAAGACCACATACCCCAACACCAGGAATTTACATGGGGAGACCTACCTATGGCAGCTNCATGAGACAAGTGCTCGGGCCTGGTGCACTGGGAAGACCCAGAGGGATCGGGTGGAGAGGGAGGTGGGAGGGGGGACTGGGATGGGGAATACATGTAAATCCATGGCTAATTCATATCAATGTATAACAAAAACTACTGTAATGATGTAAAGTAATTAGCCTCCAACTAATAAAAATAAATGGAAAAAAAAAAAGAAACAGGCTATGTTAGAGATCTAGTTAAGTGCCCTCCTTTTACAAATTAGAGACAGAGACTCAATAAGTAACTTGTCCAAGGTAAGTACTGGGAGTTCTAGCCAAATCAATTATATAAGAAAAAAAAATAATAAAAGTCATCCAAATTGGAATGAGAAAGAAGTAAAATTATCCCTGTTTGCAGATAAAGATGTGGGACGATTGGAACCCTTGTTCTCTGTTGGTGGGAACATAAAATGGTATAGTCAATATGGCAGGAACAGTATGGCAGTTCCTTAAAAAAAAAAAAATAGAATTACCATATGATTCAGTAAGTAAGTTCTATACATCAGCAAAAAAAAAAAAAGAGTTTTTTGGTGGTAGTGTTTTTGTTAGTGACAAATATAAAGTACCTAAGAATAAATCTAACAAGTGATGTGGCTAATCTTTATGGACAAAGTTAAATGATATTGAAATATATTAAAGAAGACATACTCATTATATAAAAATTGTAAAATATAAACCTTTGAAAGACCAAACCCCATAATCTTACTACCCAGACAATCGCATTGTTATGTGTCCTTCTATAATTTTTCTTATGTTTTAAAAAATACATAGTTACCTAGTATATACAACTTTGCATTCTTTTAAAAAATTTTATCTGATATAATCAGCATTTCTTCGTGCTTTTATTCTTTGTGCAGATACACTGAAGACAGACAGACCTCTTCTATCTTGGATGGCAGTTCTTTGTCTTCCTCCGTTTGTAGGCCTGGAGGAACTGACTCAGGGGGATTGGGCCAGCTAAGGTCAACAGCAAGATCTTGGATGTTGTAGGTAAACACCAATGACTAGGCTCTGGAGGCTTCCCTTTACTAACAAAGCCACTCCCTCAACGTGAATACTTGCATTGTTACCATTCCCATCTCCCTATAAACAGCAGCAGCACTGGGGCAGGTCTCTCTCCTGGATCGCTTCCTCCATTGTGTCCGGCCATAGCCACCTCTCTGTGAAATAATGGGAGCTCAAGGATCATGTACCCTTTGCTCGTAAGTTTTTCCTTAATAAACCTTACTTTATGTTCTTTCCGTGTGTTGCTAGTATGTTGGGAGTGGAGGAGGAGCGAAGAGAGAGAGTCTGTGTCCCTTGTGGAACACTGGACATCATTTTTACATCAAATAATATTCCCATATTAACTTGTTGTTGGACACTTAGCCTGTTTCCAGTATATTGCTATTATAAACAAAGTTTTGATGACTATCTTTCTGAATGATATTTTGTTTTGTTTTCTTTATTCAGCTCATTTCCTCAACATAAATTTCTGTACGTAGAATGACTGGTTAATGCTTATAAAAGTCTTCATGTCATTAATGAAAGCTGAAATTTAGTCACTCAACTGTGTCAGCCCATGGACTGTAGCCTGCTAGGCTCCTCTGTCTGTGGAATTCTCCAGGCATGAATACTGGAGTGGGTAATCATTTCCTTCTCCAGGGGATCTTCCAGACCCAGGAATTGAACCCGGGGTCTCCTGCATTGCAGGCAGATTCTTTACTGTCTGAGCCACCATGTAAGCCCCATGTCATTAATACATACTGCCAAATTTCTTTGCAGAAAAGTCATGCCAAAGTACAGTCCCATTGGCAGTGGATGAGCGAGAACAGCCCAATATCTTCTTCCTTTGAGAAAAATCTTTTTAAACAGGGCTGTGTCCTTTTGAATCTTTAGAGAACTTGCTAACTTTGAGGTGAGTTGAATAGAGTCTCCTGCTCCAGCCTATCACCCACAAAATTTCAGTTTTCTGCTCTTATTTCCTAATTTGTGGGGATCTTTGCCAGCTGTGCCTAGGGCAGTAGAGAGCCAAGGAAATCACCCAATGGCAAAATTCATCTTGAAGAGAAAATTGACTCACCGAGGGGCAGCAGTGCCCTGAAAGTTGTGTGTGTAGACGTTGGAGGAAAGAGACAGAACTATTCGCCTCACTGTCCTGTGCAGGGAGCCCAGGCCATTTGTGCGTGTCAGTCTCAGGATGGGCACAGCCCCCACGCTCATGCGGATGCAGCCACAGTCCCTCTCACAGAGGAGGAACAAGGACGTATGACCTGTTGTTCACAGAGAGCTGGGTCTACACTTTCCAGGTCAAGGATGAGGATGTTGTCTTCTCAGACACTCTTGGCAACTAAAGGCTGAAATTTCTGAGAGATTTCTTTGTTGTGGGTGATTTCAGGCTTCTGCCCCTCTGTGGTCAGGATTTGATAGCTGAAGACTTTCCAAAGCTGTCCCACAGAGACGATAGGTTGGTGTTAGATGAAGGATGTGAAGGCCACTGGAGTCCCTGCTCTAGGAACTGTGACAATGGAACTGGTGGCTGTGGTTTGTGTTCCTGTTGTGATCTTAGATGAAACAGAAACTGTGACCACTGTTGTGACTGCTTGTTATTTTTCCTCCATTGTTCCTAGAAATCAACATGAGGAAAGATGCTAATTCCAAATGCCGTTAGGATAACTGATCTTATGATAGAGCCAGTGCCTACAATGATGACTAGCATACAGGAATTCACAGACATCTGTTGAATGGATGAACTCAAGATATCCTCATCCCCTGGCTGGTTCCTTCAGCTGAGGTTGGGGAGAGGATGAAACTGCACCTATTTCTCCTGTAATTGTCACAGGGGTCCAGGAGCCAGGATGAGAACAGCACAATGGCCGAAATCTGGGAAGTGTGAATACGGCTGTGGCAAAAGGCAGCCAGACTCCTGAGGCTTCCTTAGGCTAGGAAGATGTGCCTGCCTCAGTGGGGGTCAGGGAGAGATGAACTCCAAGGCCAAGATGGTAGAAGCTGGAGATTGGGGCACTGGGGAAAAGGAAACTTGGAGTGATGCTGGTAAGCTGATGGTCAAAGCTGGATTGTGACACTTTTTGACTTGGTTCCAGAGCTTCTGGGATTATCATCAGGGTAAACTTGGTATTGCCACACCAGATTCTGGGAGACATTAGATTAAATAACTTGTGGTGATATCCAAGGTGAGGAAATGGTAGTTGATAGACATTGTTTGGGATATGACTTCAGTGAGTATAGTTGGAAAGGAGAGATAAAGTTCTTGCTTTGAAGCCAGCTATAAAGATGAATTCTAAATGATTTTATTTGATGTTATTGACATAATTTTTTCTCAGTCAGCTCTAAGAAGATGACTCCACTTACTGATGAGGAAAAGGAAGAAAGGCTTAAGAAATCTGTAACAACATCAGTGATTTTTCCATTGTCCTGGTTCCCTCAGAACACAGGTAAGCTGGTCTTTAACTTGAAGGAGTAGAGAATGACGTGGGAAAATGATATGGTAATAGCTATTATGATTCAGTGTTTGGTTGTTTTAGCTGTGATTCCAGACAAACAGGGTACCTCTGATGCCTCCTAACGAGGTCCTTTCTGAGGCTTACTGTGACAAGTCAATGGAGACAAGGCCACAGAGTAGTTATGAGTGTGGGTTCCACAGATTCACAGACACAGAAAACAAACTTATGGCCTCCAAAGGGGAAGAGGNTTTTTGGCACTCAGCTTTCTTCACAGTCCAACTCTCACATCCATACATGACTACTGGAAAAACCATAGCTTTGACTAGACGGACAGATATACACAACTACATACAAAATAGATAAACAACTAGATCCTACTGAATAGCACAGGAAATTATGGTCAATGATCTTGCAATTAACCACAATGGAAAAGAGCATGAATATAAATATAAATATATATGTGTACATATATTCTTTATATAACTGAATCACTTTGCTGTATACCAGAAACTAACACAACCTTGTAGATCACCTATACTTCAATTTTTTTTTTAAAGTGTCAGTTTCAGAGCCAAACTGACCAACATTCACAATGTGACTTGGGCAAGTTACTTGACCTCTCTGAGTCTTGAGGGCCTTATCTATAAAAGTGGGATGAGGGTAGAAGCTAGTAATACCAAGGGATACTGTATGTAAAATAGCTAGCCCAGTATCTAAACTCAATAAAAGGCATTCTGCACTGCCTGCTGTCTTGGTCTCTACAAAGTCCTGTGTGTGTGCTCTGTTGCTTCAGTCACGTCTGACTCTTTTAAATCCTATGGACTGTAGCCCACCAGGCTCCTCTGTCCATGGAATGTTCCAGGCAAGAATACTGGAATGGGTTGCCATGCCCTCCTCCAGGGGATCTTTCTGACCCAGGGATCAAACGCACATCTCTTGTGTCTCCTGCATTGGCAGGAGGGTTCTTTACCACTGGTGCCACCTGGGAAGACCTAAGAGCCTGGCAAAGGCAGCAGTACTTATGACCATGTCCTTATTAGGGCAAAAGGTCAGCTTGTTGATGATTTTACAATTACCCACTCCCTTCCCAGATGGTTGCTGCTACATCAGGCCATGCCATAGCACTTTCTGCTGGGACTCCTACAGCCAGTTCCTAACTGGTTTCCAATTCACCCTTGCCCACTTCCAATTCATTTCCCTCCAGGAATCCAGAGCAGCCATTCCAAAGTTCAAACCTGGTCATATCACTGCTTCACCTATAACCCTGTACTGTCTGCCCATTTTGTGCTAAGTGCTAAGTCACCTTAGTCATGCCCAACTCTTTGCAACCCTATGGACTGTAGCCTGCCAGGCTCTACATTCGTGGGATTCTCCAGGCAAGAATACTGGAGTGGGTTGCCACGCCCTCCCCCAGGGTATCTTCCCGACACAGAGATCGAACCCGAATTTCTTATGTCTCCTGCATTGGCAGGCAGGATCTTTTACCACTAGCGCCACCTGGGAATCTTATGTCTGCCCATCTTAGTTCCTTAAAATCCACAATCCATTTCACCGTTTACAAAGTCTCACCTCATCCGGATCTGCCTACCTCTTTCAAGTACTCCTAAGGGCCAAGGTCTCTCCTTACTCTGCATGTCTTCCCCTGCCTGGCTCATGCTCCCTCTCCCTCCTCCAACTCCCCCCCCCACCAATTTCCACCTCATTTTATTACTTAAACTTGGGTCACAGCTCATACGCACAGCACTTCAACAGAGAGGCCTTCATGGACTTATTAATCTAAATGAAGTTTCCCTACTTTGCTCGCATCATAATACTTGTTCAACATAACACCACATTTGAGGGATTTTTCTGTAATTATTTTGTAACTCTCTGCACACTAGATCTTAGCTCCAGGAGGCTGGGCCTTGGCTGTTTCATTCTTCTCTGTGTTCACACAGCGCTGCCCTAGTACAATGTCAGGCACAAC